CGGTTAAAAAAAAAATGGTTTTCTATTGGAGAGAAAGGGAAAGAAAGTTCACTAAAGATTTAAGCTCACAAAGATTGAATGATACGGCACTATTTCACTCGTTTAAACCAGAAGGTCTCTTAGCAACGAAGGCAATAACCCTAAAATGTCAATTAATACACATTTGCTTGATCGCCGTTTCTGTAACTTACCTGCGATAAGAACTAATTCGAGTAACGCGGGCTCACACCTATTTCATTTAATAGGCCTATTATGGAGCCGTGTAAGAGTTTAATGAGGAAATTAAAGTCTCGATAAAACACAAATGGAGCGAAGCACTATAATTTGTGGCAGCTATAGTGTTACTGATATATTTCCTCAAAACAGCTATATGGCGTTTTCGTATGGCCGAAGCTATGCTGCATCTTAATATATATATTTTTTACTTTTGAAGTAAAAGAGTTCAAGATTTAAGGACGTGTCCTAAAAGACATAAAATTTAATGAAATGTTAGAAATTTATTTGGTTCTATCAGTTACTTAAAAGACGTTGAAGCTACTAGCATGACTTATGTGGAGAATCTAAGATAATTAGACAGTTTATGAGTTTAAACTCCCCCCACCCCACCCCCAGCTAACATACTATATTTATGAGCTTAGTGAGTGATAAGAAAAGTACTTTCTTTAAACCCTGAAAGCGCTGAAGAGTCACTATAAATTTTCTCTACGCATTGAAAAGTAAAATAGCGGTTGATCAATAAAGTATGGATTTGTTTTAAAATTTCAGCTAAAAGCTACATAGGCGTATTTAATTTTGAACTAATACACTAGAGGGAAGGTCAATAGAACTCACCGCTGATTACATGGAATATTATTGTCTAATTGAATAGTGGGATTTGACAATCACTCTTATAGCACACTCACGGCTGCAAAGTGCGGAGCACGTTTTAATGGTAACAAGCCGCGAAACGTCGTGACCTCTTGGATTTACAGTCCGATCACACTAACCATTAGGCCATGCCCGGTCCGTGCATTAACGGACCTGTTTTAAATTGCTGAAGAACTGACAACTATATGTCTTTTTCT